CTAAGAAATTGCAACTGGAGTGTTGTGAGCTCCATAATTTATATTTGTTAACAATATTCAACAGCCATTGTTTTCTTTTTTATTTTAGACAGAGTTTTGTCTTTGTAGTTTGGCAACAGTAAAAAAGATTAGAATAATGTTTTGATTTCCTTAAGTGTGTAAGCAAATAAAGTTTGGATTTTTTAAGCAAGAAAATGTAATTGTTTATTTAAAATATTTCTTTTCAAGTGTTATAGAATGGAGTCCGATTTAATTTAAAGGTTATAGAAAGGAGTCCGATTTAATAATATTCAGGTAGATTCAACGCAACATGGGGAGTGGAAGGTGATAATCATGGAAATGTGTGCTTAATACTTCCCATAATTTATGTTCGTGATTTTTTTTCTTACAACAGGCTACATTTTATTCATACATGTGCCATACTTTGTGTCCAAATGCAAAGTCAATTTCTGCATTACATGAATTATAGTTCACCACATAAAATGCTTAAGCAATGTGTTCATGGTTGAAGCTTTTCCTGCGAGATTTTCAAGGTCCTTTTTTGGTTGTTTCCTGTCAGTGCAGAGAACTGTTTCAAAAATAAGAAAAAAGAAGGTTGGTTTGTCATTCATGTTCTGTTGTTTCATACTGATTACATGTGGTTGTGAAGTATTTTGTGAATTTCTAAAACATCTTGCTGAATCCTGCAGTAGCCTATTATTAAAATTATGGATGTTTTATTTCATTTTATGAAACTAATGATGAAATGAATTTATGCATGAAACTTTCAGCATGGTCATTATGGCTGGCACACCTGTGTTATTTCACTGATCGAGTTGTGATAAACATGTTTGATAGCAAAAATTCACATAAATTTTTCTCACCAGTGATCATGCCCTTGAGAAATATTAAAAGTATCTTGTTATTTTTAAGAAACCAATTTGTTACATAAGTCTTTTCAATAATGTGGCGACCATGAACGTTCTGTACAAGCTGTACTAAGTGAACGTAAAGGAAATGATACCAGTATCAAATGTGATGCTGCTAATAAGGGTGAAAGCAAAAGGCAATTCAGAAAGCAGTGATGTGATGAATTTCAGTAGTTGTCATATGAAAACAGTATCACTGTGCAGAGTGTGTACAAAATATTTGAAAACAGCAGATAAATACTCATGGGTTCTGCAAAGTGTCAGCGGGCCATTAAAATTGGAAACTTTCAAGTTACACAACCAATCACAAAGATTACTTGTTGAAAGATAAAGCTGTAGAAACTTCAGAGTTCACACCATTCGCAGTGTGTCAAGGAAAAATTGATGAAAGACTATTTCAGCATTTATGAAAACTATTTAACACAGCTTATTACACAGTGAATCACAATAATCCATTTTCTGATTTTAAAGATTGCTTAATAAATTTGAAGTAGGCATCACTCTCAGAGAATATCAAAATAACCAACAATACAGGAAGTTTATTTCTTATATTGCAGCTGTTATACATGAGGAGGTTACTGCGAAAATTTTAGATTGTAGTTCTGTTAGCATTCTTTTGGATATGTTGACTGATAAACCTACAGAGGCAGAACTAAAGTTATATTGTTGCTGCTGTTGTGTCTATGACAAAGCCTATTCAAATAGTGCCATGAGGGAAGATGACAGCCCAAGCAATCTGCAAAATGTTATCATAGAGGTTTGTTCCCTTAAACAAGACCCCAATAAGAGATAAGGTTATAAAAGAATCATTCTTTCATTTATACCTACTGACTCTTCTGCATTATTTTACTATGAAACCTTAGATTGTGAACTGCAAAAGCTAGGAGCCAATAGGCAAAGCAGAAACTGGAAAATAGAGCTTGGAACAGATGGGGTTGCAGATAATTTAAAGAGAAACAGGAACTAGCGATAATTGAAAGAGAAAAATGGACTAGCTGCCATGTTGAAAAATGACATCAAGAGACTTGTAACATAACACTATATTGCTCACAAGTTAAATTTAATGTGTTATTGCTCACAAGTTAAATTTAATGTGTCGCACTCAGTGAAAGACACACAATATCTTGATGAATGTTGATGAATCTTGATAAATTCATTTCATCATTAGTTTCATAAAATGAAATAAAACATCCGTAATTTTATAGTAATTCTGCAAAAAGACCAGGGCAATATGCTCAGCTGAGGGGGGGCTGCAATTAACGCAGCTGAGATTAAAAATATTCATATCAAATTCGATGGGTATCATTAAGGTTTGTTAGTGTCCTTCTTGTTCTAACAATTATGATGTAGTGTTGTTCATAGAAGTGTCAAATCAAAAAAAAAAAAAAAAAAGTCAGTGCTGTGGCCAGAAAATTGCAGAGATAAATGAAAAACATTCAATTTAATTTCACCATGTCTTGCTAGATTTTCTTTCCATATTCAAGGAACTGTCTCTGATTTTTTTTTTTTTTTTTTTTTTTTTTTAGATGTGATCATGATTTTAACCCTTTAGCACGCACACTTGGGAATTTTACACGATTTGTATTTTTTATGACATCCGTTATTTTACCGTTTTTGGCACAAAAAACGACAGAAATGAGTGCATATTGATAATAAATTTGTTAAGAAATAAAACATTAATCTTATTATTGCAAAATACAAATGATATTACATTCAAATATAAGTAAATTATTTTTAAGTTCTTATACGTTAGTGAAATGGAAATGCAATAATGTTCATTACAGAAAATTTTAAACTTATTTTTTAATAATTATATTTTAAAATCGGAGCTAATTTTATCATTCATCAAAGATAAGTATAGACAATAAAAAAGGAAAATACCTTGGTAGGTAAAACGTAAGTTTAGCATTACTTACTTCTGCAAGGAAATTTGCTTCTTACGGGTTACAAAAATGCACTAACTTTAATGCTTTTATTTATTTCTAAAAAATAGAAATAAAAGAAAATAAGGAATGGCAAGAAAATGAGGAATATAAATCGCTATTGTTCTCTCATGCAAAGGTTTCCTTTCCTTCATCAGATAATTCTTGAAGTATCCGAGCAAAATCAGCTGGTTGCACATATTTTTTTGCCATGAAAACCAATATATAGTTTACAGAGCCAAATGTATTCAAATTAAAATAATACATGCCAATTAATAACACAAAATTACAAAATATTTGAGAAAAAAAATATTTTCCAAATTTTAAACACGATCACACGCGTGTCGTAACTTTTATGAAAAAGCTGACACGTAGCACAAAAGACCTGTTAAAAAAAACGTCAAATGACTTCCTGTTGGCACATTCCATGATGTGGGGAAGGGTAGAAAGGAGGAATAGAAATGATCTTCAGATGTCTCAGCTTCGATATGCGAAAAATGTACATTAAAAACTGATTTTGTCATAAATTTTGTGCATATGTGCGTGCTGGAAGCTTAAGCAGAGTAGAGGTTTCTATTATTAGGTCAACCTCAGAGTTGAATGACTCGGAATCTAAACAATGCACATATGAACAAATTTGTCAATTCAACTACTATTTCTTACAAATACTGACTGTCAAATTTTTGAGTCAGAAGAAAACAAGTTATGTAAAATGAGGTACCTTCAGAAATGTTTTTTAGCATGGAATATGGGTGTCATAAAAGGCAAGTGCTGTCTTTGACACCTTCGTGTAGCCTCATGACAATATGGAAAGTTAAGGAAAGGATGAAATTTGTGATTGTACAATCACTTTGAAACATATCTGTCATTTCAAACCCAGTCTTCTAAAAAGCAAAACTTGAAAGCTTTACAGAATAAATGGTATGAGTTTAAAGTTTTAGAGCAGGGTGCAGAAGTACAGTGCAAAAGTTTTGTAAAGCTAAAATTCATACAAAGAAAGATTTTCTCTTCTCAGTCAGTAATTGTCAATGGTCACAGTTTTGACATCTTCCACAGCATCTTGTGAAGAAAGTTTTAGTCAATGAATTTAAGTAAGACTGATCACAGAACATGCACTGAAAATGTGACACAGAATGACATTACTTATTATTCTAAGGCGGATGGCAACCTTTTTTTTTCTTCTTTTGCTACTGGCTTTTTAAAATTTTTTAACACTGCAGTAATAGAAATAATGACATTTGAAGGAGATACTACAGCAAAAATAAATTAATATTTTACAGGTGAATAGTATGAAAATTTCTAAGGGAAACAATTCAGTTACATCTGATGAGATTTATACATTAAATCTAAATTTAAAGCTTGTCTACTGCAAATTTAATTTTAATGTATGCTTTTTATTTACCCATACATGATAATTACATCCATCAAGAATATTCCTTCTGCTTGATTTATTTTGTATATGACACTAATAAAAACTTCTTAAATGTACATTAGATACAATTAAAATAAATAAATTTTGATGAAGGATGACGTTATGCACATGCTAAGCTGCCAATCTAACATAAGAATAATGATTCTGCAAGGATGTAGAATCTTTATGCAAAATAATGTTTAACTTAAATGATAGACTTCTCTAAAACTACTTTATTATTAATCCACGAGGAAAAAGCTTTTATGAAGATACGCAGGAACATATTTATGAAGCAACAAAATTTAAACAGCAAAGTAATTTTTTATAGCCAAGTTTTTATAGTAACTAAATATGATCTACATGATTTTTTTAACATTTCTATACAGCTGTTAAGTATGTCATCAGTATGATTTTTTATTTAAAATTTCTATTTCATAACACAAGTTCTCTTGAATCCATCTGCGCCATTGAAAACGAGATTATTAATGCAATTATGAAAATCACATTTCCAGCTAAACAAATTTTTTAAAAAAATTGCGACTCAAATCTGTACTCCGTTTTTTTTTTTTTCTGAAACAAATAAAATGACAAAAACTGCTAATTAAGGCAAATTGTAACCTTAGATTGACATCAGCTTCATATTTAAAATTATTGAAAAGCATTACCAATCTATATCTGAATGCAACATTAAAATACTATTCAGAAGTTTTCTGAAATACAGTAATTAAGCTACAAGAAAATAAGAAAATTATTTCTTACTACTTATATGTGTCTGAGCGTATGTACTCTATAACATGAGTTACTCCTAGCTGTAACTGATCAGCAATTGGTGGTACCCAAGGATTGTTATCCATTCTAACTACACAGTGATGGCCAAGAAGATCTAAATTTCCTATAATATAAATTTCCTCTTCATAACATTTTGAATTCCAGATAAAAATTTAAATTTTTAATCATTAATTACATAAAAGTTTTCCATTTCAATTTAAATTTAAAAAACTAAACATTTCACTGAAAAATGAAATGGCAAATACATCCGTTTCTTTCATTTCTTTAGATGCAATTAACATATATCATCAACATGAAATTTTACACCTGTAATAGCTAATTTGCATGACATTTATATACAACGTAACAGAGAACAACTTTTCATATCAGAAATCAATGTGATTTTTAGTAATGATAATATACTGAAATTTTTCATAATAAATACCAGGGGTCGGCAATGCAGTTCCCTCTGTTTTTCTAGATTAATTTTAAAGTGCCCACCATTTAAATATCTAAATTCTAAACTTCAGATATATGGATAATAAAGACTAATCATTGTAATGACTAGTTTGAGTAAAAGTTCTTATTTTATCTCCAGCATTTATAAATTGTATGATCTGTACAATTAAAATTTTGTCCTGTATTTTGGTGACATCTAAATAACCAGACGACTGAATTTCGACCAACAGAAACATCCAATGCCATTTACAACGAACTATTTTCTATTCCTATTATTCTCACATACTCTATCCAAGCACACTATGCTACACTTTCAATCTCTTTGTTCATACGTAAACTTGCCATTTCACGAACTTGTATTCTGACTTGTAAGCAGAATGTGCATTCTTTTTCTTCAAATTAAAAGATAATGAAAAGATACAAACACTGATTTTACAATGGTTGTATTAAGAAAATAAATTCTTAGTACCATTTCTTAGTTGGCACTAAGAAAATAATATATTTGTTTTCATTTAATATTTATTTTAATTATTATTATAGCCAAATGGAAAAAAAGATAAAAGAATCAGAAGACACATTATTTTAATGTTGAGTGGAAAGCACAATTTTGTTTCATTTATTATAAAGAAAAACGTGCTTGCTTATTTTGCAATTCAAGTACAGTGACTGCTAAGAAATGCAACATGGAGAGATATTTTATCACTATTGCATTGAATGCATTTCTGAAATATGCCCTCCTAGTCCGCTTAACGCATTTCTGAAATATACCCTCCTAGTAAAAAAGGCTGCCAACTCCTGGTATGTAGCATCCATGGAAATAATTAACATAATATATTTAATTATAAAAAATGGACCATGCATGATACACACATACAATTAGCTTTGACTTTTCTAAACGACAATAAACTAAGACGTGATTTCAATGTGCTCATGAAGAGTATTTTTGCTTCCTGAAGAGGTGAGACCTGCACTACAGCTTCTCTCAAAATGTTTACAGCCTGTTTATAAAATCCTAAATTTGCAATTGAATTTGTTTTAAAATTAGTCTATTGATAGCACATTTATTAATCAAGTAGTTTGCAACAACTTACAACCTTTGGTATAAACAATTTTTAAATTGCATTTCTCATTGTTTTACTGCTTTCTTCACATATATGAATTTTCAGATATATTTCAAGTATGCATGACTATTCAACAAATAGCATAAATTTTACAATATATTTCATCAAATACCTATATGACAATTTATATGAAAATGATTAAAAAATTCAAATTGATTAAAAATTCCTAAAGAAACACGTTCATATTTTTATGTGAAGAAGAAATATTAATGTAATTTAATCCACAAAGTTGTACTTCTTTTAGATGCTTGGGAATTATTATTACTTTGTTTTGTATAATTAGTTTTCTTTGCTATTTTTAATATTTCGAACTATTACAAATGCTTCTAGGACCATTAAAAGACTTTGGCATTTTGAAAATTTCAGATTATTAGCCATGATTTAAAAAAAGAAAATATTTCACAAGCAAAGTAAGATACACCTAAAAACAAAAACAAAAAAAAATTCACTTTGGAATAAAAAGAATAATGGCATCAAGCTGATGGAAAAAAAAAGTATATAAAAATGAAATAAAAAATATATAAAAATGAAATCTATACAACTGTGCTAGTGGACACTGGATGTGACAAAAAATTTTTGTCAGCAACATCTTTCCTCGTATATAAACTGTATCCTGCAACTTGAATGAAAATGTTAACTGCATGTACATACTTGCCAATCTATGACACTCAAAAATCAGGAAATTTTTTTAAGAAATCAGGAGATTTTTCACAATGTTAAAAAAGACTTTTTAAATGATAAAAATATAGCTTTTAATGATGAATTAACTTAAATAGTTATTAAGTCTTAAATGCAAAGCACACAAAAATACCTTAGACTTAAAAAACATTTTTATTACTTCCATGTTTGCTGCATTTGCTAGAGCAATTGCCACGTAGGTCTCCTTTTGTTAATAAAAGTTTTTCTAATGTGTCATCACTAATATTAGATCTAAATTTAGTCCTCGTTTTGCAACAACATTGAAAATCCTCTCACACTCCTCATTACTATGGGGAACTGTCAAGATGGCCAACATAATTCTAGACAGTTCACTATATTTTAAAATTCCATCAGCACCTTTCAGTTTTCCAATTAAAGTCCACTGGGTGTCAATCCTAGCTGATTTTATAACTTCATCCAAGTTTTCTAATGGTAAACTGCAAAATTGCGACTGCAGTATATCAGTAGCAACATCAATTTGTGTGTAATAATTTGTGTGTTGAGCAATTTTTTTTATTTTGAGAGAAATTTCTATTAGCTTTATGCTTATATTTTGCAGTGTTATTTTGAGAACTGCCAGTTGAATTGCTGAATAGTGCAGAAATTACTTTATTTTTCTCAAACCTATTTTTAACAATGAAAGTAGTAACTACATCTCCATTTACTTTAGGTATTTTATAACTTTCAATAGAGCCTTTTATCTTAACTCTCGAAGCATTTACTTCTTCATTAAAAAATGCAAGAAGTCGGTTCCATTGATCAAGGATTCTAGATAAGCATTTCTTTAAAGACAGCCAGCGCGTACGCACGTTTCAAAATTTTTCACATTTCAGTATTATGCAGCTGTTGGAATTGTTTCAATTTTTCCTTCCTTTTAGAACTCCTTTCAAGATAACAATAAATATCAACAATGTGTTCATCCACATTTATTGGTAAAGAAGCTGCCCCTTTTCCAGCTGCTAAATTTAAGAGGTGACAGGTATGCCTCATTACCTGCAAATCTGAATTTTCCTTTCTTAAGATGCCTGCAACACCAGTCTTCAAGCCTACTATTACTGGTGCATTATCGGTACCAAGTGCTAAGCATTTATCCAAAAGGACTGCATTTTCTTTTAAGGTTTTAATAATTAGCTGTGTTATATTAAAGCCTGTTGAATGTCCTTCTAAAGTGGGGACAAAAAGTAAACTGCACTCAATTTCTGAAGACTCTGGATTAAAAAAAGAAACAACAATTAGATACAGTTTTGAATCGCTATTATTGCTTCCATCCATAGAGAGGCAGAATGGATCTGTTTTAATGCAATCAATAACTTAATATTTATTTTTCAAACCCATTTCTTTAACAATTGCACCTGTTTTGGTCCTTGCACTTGAGAATTTCTTAGCGATTTCATTATCGGGAGATTTTTCTAAAGTTGCAGTGTGATCCGATGCATTCAGCTGCAGGTCGTGCTCCAGTAAAAAGGCAGAGAACAGACATTCTGCATTAATCACTTTTTGGTTCTTTGTTTCCAAAGAAAAATTTAATTTTTTCAAAACAACTCATGTCCTTGTGTTTTTGTGTACGTACATGTTTGAGAACATCCGCCCTTCCACCATGCGAAATCGAAAAATCGCATCGACAGATGGTACACATCGCAAATTTATTACATTTCCTTGAGGAAATAATGGAAGGAAAGTCAAATGTGTATGATTTTTGAAACGTACACGAGTATTTCACCTTTCTCGCAGACATAACAAAAGATGATAATTACTAAAACTATTTCCCGAAGGCACGTGTACTCACACAACTCAGGACAAGATGAACAAAATAACAAAAGAACTTCCAAATAACAGCCTTGAGCTTGGTTTGTGCTCATTGGCTAATATATGCCAGATGATACGCAGTGGAGCTCGATGCCCATTGGAGAACTGGAGAACGGCGTTTCTGGATATGTATGCTATCACTCACAAAGCAGAAATTCTCATCTGATTCGCAAGGTTTTGTTTTAGATATAATCTAGAGAAAATTCAATTGCTTTCAGACGTCCAAAATCCCTTTTTTTTTTTTTTTTTTTTTTTTTTTGGTTCAGATAACGAAGTATTAAGCCATGTTCCATAAAAATCGTGAGAAATATTAAGAATAAGAAAAAGTCAGGAGAGATATATTGTAAATCGGGTTGGTGGGAGAGTGGTCGAAAATCGGGAGAGTTGGCAACTCTGCATGTACAATTATTTTAAGATGAATCATTTTAAATGTGAGAATTAAATGAATTCAAAGTATTGGAAGCTCGGTCTAATATGCTACTGAAAATCATTTTTTTTTAAATCTTTTGATAAAAAATCCTAACAACTAATGGTTTCCAGTTTAATTCCAAGAACAAAGAAATGATGGAGCATAATAAAGTACAAAGACAAGCAGCATGGATATTGGGGAAAAAAATCTGGATTTAAAAAAATTAACTAAAAACAAGCACTATGAAACTGCTTGATAATATACCAAGACTGAAGTGCAGGAACTCATCTAACAGATGCAGAAGACTTCCCACTTAAAGCCATACCATTATGATAAGAAATAACGAAATAATAGAAATGTATAAAAGCACTAAAAAATTACACCAATAAGCTCTCATGAACCATGAAACACTATAGAAAATAGAATGATTTACCAACTAATAACAAAGCTTCGCACTCTACCCTAGACTATTGCCAATTAAACTGAACAACTAAATGGCACTGATCTAGGATTCTAATAATGGAAAAAATAATATGAAAAATGTAATCCACAAAATACATCAATACTGAATCTGAACATACAAAGACAGGATGTTCCCAAGATAGTCATACAGCCAAATCTGCAATGTAAGCAATCAATAAAACATCAAGTTCTATAGAAATATTCAAACAAATTTTTGAATATTTTAAACTATTTATACAGTTTTACAGTTCTATATGCAGCTTACCAAGTTCTGGTGGCAGAAATGTCAAACGATTTCCCTGAATGTGCAATTCCCTTAATCTGTTGAGCTCTCCAATTTCTTTTGGAAGAAGAATTAAATCATTTTCTCTCAAGCATAACTACAGAATAAATAAATACACATTCAATCATACACAAACCATGGATAAATTTAAAAAAAATTAAATAGCTAATTACATGAAATAATGCCCAATATAATATGCATTAATGACTCAAAAACAACAAACTAATAATTTCTATATTCAATTTAAGTAAAAATATACAAAGCAGAAGCAGTTAAAACAGCTTCAAATTTCAAGCAATGAATCTAATTTATAATATTGGAATCAATCATAAACACTTAATATGCAAAGAAAATGAATAGAAATGCTATCATTAATTTACATCTTAATAATATTCCAAAAACAAAATATTTTCAAACATTTATTTATAATATAAAACTATTAATAGTTAATTAAATCCACTGACAATTTAATGATACTGAAAGAAAAGGATAAATTTGACATAATGAAATCCATACTCACTATTTGAAGATTTTTTAACTGACCAATTTCTGAAGGTACATATTCAAAATCATTATCACCCAAATATAAAGCTCGCAATGTTTCTATATGAATAAAAAATTGAAGACCCATAATTATATGCTTAATACAAAAATTATGGCTTTAAAACAGCTTAGGTGTATTTTTTAAATCACACAGATTTTTTAACATGTATGTTTAAAAACCATTAGTAAGTCAGATATAAATAAACATTGAAGGTTATAAGTTCACAAAAGATTTAATTAAAACTCACCTTTTAGAGGCTAAAAGCAGTCAATTTTGTACATGAATCAAATTTACCACTATGAAATATATTGATGCAACATTCATGCAATAGAATATTGTAAATAATATAGCAATAAAAATAAGAATAACTTTTTCAACTAGTTAGGCTACTATTGAAAAGAGTATCATTATACAAGGTCTATTTAAAAAGCATCTGACCTCGAACTTTTCCATGCAAAGTAGTGATATGCTAGAGAGCCACCCCTGCTACAAGACAGCTCAATGTGCCTGCTTGAATTCACGGCATTGAAGTGTGCTAGTCGCTGCCGGCTTAGCATCCAATGAAGTGGTGTTTTATGTGTTTGTTGGATTTTTAATTTCTCTCGAGATGATTGAATGAGCTGTGAGCAAAGAGACTGCATTAAATTTTGTCAAAGCTTGGACATTCAAAAAGCAAAACTTTTCATAAGATTCAGTACGTGTTTGGAGACTATGCTATGGGGTAACGCAAGTTGAGGAGCGGTTCAAATGATTTGAAAATACTCACATATTACTGAAGTGAGGATAGTATTCTGTGAAGCCATAAAACACCTGGAATGAAGCTGTTGTTAAGATGGTGGAAAAGTGAAATTGTCATTTGACCATATAAGAGATTGCCAAAGAGGTTGGGATCAGTTAAGATTCCATACATGCAATTTTGCATGCTAACTTGAACTGCTGCAAAAATCTGTTCTGAAGTTGCTGTAGAAATAGAAAGTCGGAATAGAAAGAACTCCATTTCAGATTGCACAGTCTGCTAGACACTTAACAGCAATGATCCTGAGCTTCTGATCTGAAGATCTGAGATATCTGAAGGTGAGTTATAGGTGTAGAGGTAAAACCTGGAAACAAAATCAAAGTGATGCTGTGTTCTCTGATCGCCATGGATCTCTGTGTCATGAATATGCACCATGACAGTGATAATGGGTTTTCCCGACGACTCAATGGTGCAGTTTGGTGCAAAAGACCAGGATTTCTGGAAGGTCAAAGACTAGCAATTGCATCATGAAAATGCTTCAGCACATTCATCACACTTTCTTGGTGAAACAAAATTCAACTCGTTCACCAACCTCTCTACTCTCCAGACATGGCTTCTTGTGATTTCTGATTGTTTCCGAAATTGAAAACGACATTAAAAGTATCCTATTTTGAAAGCAGAGACCATGTAATGCAGAATGTGATAGCAGAGATGAATAAAAGAAGCCTTCCAGAAGTTTTCTCTAGTGGAAGGATTGGTGGACTACATATGTGGAGGTGCAACAGGCCTACTTTGAAGAGGATTAGCATCTCAAGTCTGTCATGTAAGTAATATTAGTTTTCGGCAAAAGGTCAGATAATTTTTATGACATCCCTTGCACTCATGTCTGTATTGAAATTTCTCCTTATTCACCATCAGAATACATATATGAAGTTGATCAGAACTTAACAATCTTACTTTTTTCAGAGTTCTTTAATTTTATTTTACACAAATGAAGTTTTTTTTTGCTCAGCTATGCAAACTACTTTTATTTAAAAAAAAAACATAAACCAGGTTGTCATCAGAGTAGTGTTAATGAACAGAATGAATGATCATGACTATGCAAATTAATAGCTGGAACAAAAGCACTTATATGCTCTTGAAACACATGATTAAAAAAGCAGTGTCTATTCTTTATCTTCCCCAAAATGAACCAAAAAGTATATCTTTTATTTGAAGAGGCCATAAGTTCAGTTTGAGAATCTTGTTTCACAGCAAATTTTGTATTAAAAGATGAATTTTTTTTTTTTAAGTTACTGTAAAAATGAAAATGATACTTGAATAAGAGTTTGGTTCTAGAAGTGATTTTTAACAATGAATTCAAGCAAAACTAAGAATGTAAATTTGTACCAGACCATTCTGTAGCATATGCTAGTTCAAAAGTTTGAAGCATTTAATTAAAAGTTGCTCAAAAATCTTTCTTTACACAAGTGAACAAAATTTTGTCATGCATATGTGTAAATACAACACATTGCAATATAGTAGTTATACACATACTTAGCAACATGACACAAGAACAGCAGTGAAGCTGAAGTTAAAATGAGCCAAGTAAGGCAAGATGATATTAATCTGAAATATGAATGTCAGATATGCTGTATGTAATATAGGGTTAAGATATTTTTATATGAAGATACATAGATTTATATTAAGATATACAGGGTTGAGATATTTTTTTATGAAAGTGTATATGAGGTGTTCATGTAAGGCAATGTTTTTAACCAAGTAGTGTCAGTGCCAACCCACCCATTACACATATAGCTTGTAATCCTCCGACATGTTTTTCTATGCCTTTTACCACTATAAGAAAAAGATCTGGCATACTAATTTTATAAAACTGAGTGAACTATTTATAACATAATGAACATTTAAAAAAATTAATTTACTGATAATTAGATAGCATTCTCATTGAAAAATGGTTATTGCAGCATATTTTAAAATACATACCAATCATAAAAAAGTTCCCAGGTAAATTCTTCTCATTTAAATTGTTGTATGTAAGATCAAGAACTTCAAGCTGTGGGAAAGCTCCAAATCCTCGAGGAAGGGTACTTAACCTATTCATACTTAAATAAATAAAGGTCAGAAATAAAATGTTCTTGCAAAGATAGAACATTTGAAAAAAATCACATTAGAGTATTAATTTCAGTTCTCAAAATACAGCTTCAAATTGTGCTTATTTTACACAAAGTATAATTTACATTACGGAACACTTGGTTATGCACACTGCATTTAGTTTAAAAAAATAAAAATGGTTTAAAAGCATAATTTGCATTTTGATTGATACATAACTCAAATTATTATTGCAATTAAAAGTGCAATATAAGAAAGAACAATAAGCAACTGACACAATCAAAAACAGTGATATGACCAAGAAAATGATTAATAAATAATAGCATAGAAAGCAAAGCATGAAAAGCAGAAAGCAACAGGTAAGAAATTTTAATTGCTGCTAATGCATAATTACTGCTAATATAACCTTAGTAACTAAAAAAAGCATCCTAAACTTGGGTGGATAGGACACAATTAAAACTTCATTTGGCACTTTCTGATTATCTGTATGCCTAAGTTCAACATTTGGTGGAATTGCCGTGTTTCTGGTATATTTTTTAATTTACACACTACAGCAACCAAACCGGACTTGCAAGTATGATTAACTCTTTGACAACAAATCTGTCCCACACGGCCGTTCATTCAGACGACGACAACTGCCCCAAAATGGCCAAGACTGCGATCTTGTTTTCTTCTCTTCCCCTAAGGTATGCAGTAGTGGGTGCAGTTTTCCCAAATGCACTGCATCAGTTTACTGCAGACAGCTTGTCCTAAGAGTTTTATTTGTGGTTTCTTATCTTTAGGTTGAGCGTGACATTTCATTGTTCATTCGTTTTTAGTACAGTGTGCTTTTAAGGATTATATTTATTTTTAATCCATTTATTCCTTCATATACAAATAACGAAAGTAAACAAAATCTCATAACAAAGCCAGAGGGGCTTGTTTGTCTGACCTTCTGAATAGGTTTACAAAGTATGGGGTCAAAAACAAATGGGATCTTTGTTAGAAGTAGAAAAGATGTCATTCAAAATCTTCACACCTATTTCTGCATTAATGAATGGGAAGGAAATTGCTGTGAAACTGGAAAAGTATTTCAGGCAGTTCGGTATTTTAACCCATATTTTATCATTGGCCTATATGCAGGACAGTGCATATCTGATGGCTGTACAAAAAAGTCATAATGTTTTAACTTTTTCTTTCACAATGCATTACTGCTAGAAAGCTCAGTGTTATATTAGCTATCTTCTTTTAAATTTTTACTTTTGCAAATCTGTTTTTTTTTTTTTTTTTTTTTTTTTTTTTTTTTTTTTTTTTTTTTAACATACAAAAAAGAATAATTTTGACTTTTTGCACTTTATATTTTGAACGCATAAAAAAAGGGGAGGGGAAAGGTAAAATAAAAAGTGTGGATTTTTGTAAAATAAAATAAGTCTCCATTAAATGTGAATGACAAAAAAATCCAAAAGAAAAATATATTATAGATCCTTATTTTGCTTTATTTTATAGAGCATCCTATATATAGAGGACAATGGTAAAATTTGCTACTATACGATTCTAAAACATAACACTGCTTTGGAGTGGAATGGTTACGCCCGTTTGATCCCCTCGCTGTGAAATGTGGCGATCAAATATTTCTTGTCCCGCGTCCCCTTTTATACAGAGTTCTGAAAGCCACTTCACACATTTTATTTGTATGAAAGAAATTAACTTTTGTGAATGTTTATTTATTAATGTATATTTATTTTATGCATCCAAAATGAGTCGAAAATTTCTAACAGCTGAAGAAGCTTTGGAATATTTTATGCCATTAGATGATGAAGATACTGAGCCGGAAATGGTAATACCACCTGATCCAAATGCAGTCCGTGACAATGAAGGAATAGACAATGACTACAGTAAGACTAGACACAACCAAGCTATTTGTGATGAAAGCGCAGCAGGAACTATATAACTAGCAGGAACTGTAGAAATTTTAGTAGGAAATGAAGATGATGAAACATGTGTGCCAAAACCTGATTGAAAGATTGCGTTTCTAAATATTCACAAGCTTCAGAAATATTTTATCAAGATTCTAATCAGTCTATAACTGATTTTGTTTCTGGAAAATCTCCTACAGAACTCTGAATATATTGCTGAAAAAATGATAGACAAAGCTACTATTGAGAGTAACAGATACGCTGGACAGAAAAATAATCATAATTTTTCATTGACAAAACAAGATTTCATTAAATTCTTAGGAATACCTTTTTATAGTGGCTACCATATTTTGCTACGTTAAAAAATGTACTGGGAAAATGCGCCAGACACAGGAACTATACTAGTTAGTCGAGAATTGCCACGAAGTAGATATTTTGAAATCCAGCAATACATTCATTTCATTGACTATAGCACCATTGATTCGGACCGCTATTACAAAGTACATTCAATTTATGATTTACTGAATGATGCTTTACAACTATTAGGTGTCTTTTCCAAATGTCTAAGCATTGATGAAAGAATGGTGAGCTATTTCGGTATGTATACAAAAAAAAAAAAAAAAAACCGAAGCTCTTGATCTTCTAGAATATCAACGGGCTATAACAGTCAGCTATTTGGGATTATCAATACCTAGGAACATTCAAGGTAGAACATTAGGTGCACAACAGAAAATCCGGACTTCTTGAAAATGCAAACTGGTCATGTTATTGTAAAAAACCCTCATGGACGTCAACGTTGTTGTCAATTAAAAATTTGTACTTGGAAACCGACAACTATTTGTAAAAAATATAATATTGGCTTATGCTCGAGTTTTTTTTTTTTTTACCATTCTATTCAGAAGAATGTGCTTGAAAGAAAATAGTCCCTTGTAGCTTCATAGCACTGGATTTGACCATAGTCCTATATATAGGACAGCCTGTAAACTCAAAGAAAATAAAAGTTTTGTATGTTTTTATCACCTTTTCTTACCTATTTATAACACAAAATTAGAAATTTCAAACAAAAATTTTAATTTCTTTGATCATTGGTAAAATGTGGGTTAAGGAAAGAAGTTAGAGAAGGTTTGGATTTCAAAGAGTTAAGGTAAAATAAGACACCAAACAAATATTAATTTAGAAGTCAAACAACAAAATCCAGCATTATATTTGCAAATTTTTACAGAACTAGTTTCGATGGTTTTATGGTGATGAAACCATACTCACTGGCTGTAAATTGATTTTTATCTTATAAATGCTTCTTATTTTTATTTATGAACAAAATAGTACCCAGGAGACAAATAGCAAAAAATAAAACACTTTTCATGAATTCAGAAAGTTGATAATGATGTGGTGACTTTCTGTGCAGATGGCAGATAATCAGAAAATACCCTTTTCTAATTTTAAAGCCTAACTTGATTTCAAATTAATAAGATACAGCTTTAAGCATAATTATCAAAATCCTGATAAATTTGCCTATAACATGAAAATAAAATTTTCCAAAATACTTTTTTTATATTTGAATTGGCCTTCAAAATCTTTCTACCATAAAACAGAATTTACTAATTTCAGTACTGCTAAATTGGACAACAGCTAAATAGCTTTCTGAAGTACATACTTTATATTTCAACGTATAAGCTGAGAATTTTACAACTTTTTCTATGGCTAAATTACAGGGTCAGCTTATATATGGATTCTCTTACCTTCCAAAAAATGTAGGTATACATCTTGTTTAGCTGGATGCAAATGATAAATTGCCAGTTTTTTTAATTTCTTAAGATTATGAAAAAAATATTTTTGAATGTAACGAGTTATTCGTTTTATGAAAATGAGTTACTTTATTTTTGAAATTGTTTAATTGTTTATATTGCTGTTTTGTTGCATGAAAATGAAAATAAGACTAGCACAAATACCACCAAATGCATATAAGAAACGAAGAATAGAAAAAATGTCTTAGGCTTCAGGCAGAATTATCAGTTACTTAGGATTAATTTAGGTAGAGTTAAAACTATCATTGTTAGCAAATGGCATTTCAATTTACCATGATTTCATTGAGAAATATTCCACTCGTTTTATCTGCTTGGCAACATTTTCAGATAACATATTTAAACATTGCAACTTTTTTTTTTTTTTTTAATTTTGGCTTGAATTTTAGATAAATTTTTGAAGAAAAATATATTCTCGGCTTATATATATATATATATAATATGCACTGTGTGATTTCTTCTAGTAATGATCGTTTTAAGGATAGATTCAAAGAAATTGATCTTTCAGAGATTTTGCAACAAAATATTATATTCCTGCAAAACGTTTACCACAGCTTCTTTCATTGCCGGTACCACTGGAACTTGGAATAAAAAAATAATAAAAGTAACGATGCATATGAAAATGCAATCATTGCTTGTTAATACTGATGCACACTTATGTTAAAACTAAAACCAGCATATTAAACCCCATTATGCATACACTGCTAGGTTTAATACATTCAGAAAATTTGGTGACATCATCAACCAAAATTAATACCTTAAACAGGGTTCGTAGCCACATTTTAGTTAAAAAAATAAGCACCTATAAGCACTTTTCAAGCACATTTTAAGGAAAAAATAAGCACCTGTCTAATTACATTATACACAACTGCATAACCTTAAAAGAAAAATTAGACTTGTATTTTAAAATATGAGCAATGCAATATTTATTAAGAAAATTAGCATTACCTCAACCATGGAAAACAACTTTTTTTTTTAATTTTAAATAACAGTTCAATTTACAGAATTAGTTTACAATGAGAGGGGGGAAAACCATGCAGAACTAAACTATATTACAAGATTTAATGATGAAATTTCAGTTCAAAATATATAAAATAAATAATAATAAGTCATATTAATTGTATTCGTTTGGCACCTAATAATAAATACAATTTATTTTTCCACTCATATTAATATTTAAATAATTTAACTTAAATCAAAATTCTGAACATTTTCTAAATTTTTATTGCATAACAGTTTTCCCTTAACATTTATTCCAAGCAAAGTAAATAAAAAAGAGGCACATTTCTGAAATCAGAAGACGGGAAATTGCTTCATGCAGTCATCCTTTAACAGTAAAAGCTTAACTAACCCGCATACTCGGAAATTGCCAAATATTCCGGATAGTAACTGGAAAAAGAGGAGTGGGGGAGATTGTAGCCGTTCTTTAGATTTCTCGGCTAAATAGATGATTTTGACATTTCGATAGTGCATCATATAAAAATAGACCAATGGAACTGTGAAATAATCTGCTTAGAAAGCACAGTAAAACTTTTAAGCGTTCATAAACAAATCTCAGACTGAACATCAAAATTAATTATCTCTGCAAAATACCGCAGACGTTATTGCGCAATACGTGCAGCATAATTCTTCCACATGTGATATTATGCAATCGGAATCAACAGCTGCCGGTATTCGAAGAATAAAGAACTAAATAAAAGAAAAGAAAGAGACTTACTAATCTGGGGTGTTTCTGATTCTAATTTTCAACTGACTGCGTTAAATTTCCGGAATAGAATCAATCTTCGCTTAGGTTGGGTAGACCGCAAAAACTTTTAGTCCTAATCAATCTAGATTGGACAATGACAAAAAAAAAATCACTATTTGATTACTTTCCCTTTATTTAAGCCATTCCAAATACATACTTGCCAACCTATGACACTCAAAAATCAGGAGATTTTTTTAAGAAATCAGGAGATTTTTCACAATGTTAAAGACTTTTTAAATGATAAAAATATAGTTTTTAATAATGAATTAACTTTAAATAGTTACTAAGTCTTAAAATGTAAGCAAAACAAAAATACCTTAGACATAAAAAACATTTTTATTACTTTCATCGTTTAAAAAAAAAAAAAAGGGCACTTTAATCAGTTTTCATACAAATGTTATGGACAGTGGCAGATTTTGCTCTCGTTAAGAAAGAAACTTCATAATTTTGTTCATAGCAATTGCCACGTAGGCCTGCTTTCGCTAATAAAAGTTTTTCTAATGTGTCATCACTAATATTAGATCTAAATTTAGTCCTCGTTTTCGCAACAACACTGAAAATCCTCTCACACTCTGCATTACTATGGGGAACTGTCAAGATGGCCAACATAATTCTAGAGCGTTCACTATATTTAAAATTCCATCAGCAACCTTTCAATTTTCCAATTAACCTCCACTGGTGTCAATCCTAGCTGATTTTATAACTTCATCCAAGTTTTCTAATGGTAAACTGCAAAATTGCGACTGCAGTATATCAGTAGCAACATCAATATCATCATCTTTCATGACTAAACGAAGTAAGATAGGAAATCTGTTCAAAAGTACCTTATATCAAAAAAGATGCATTGCTAGAGCAGAAACATCAGCAACTTTAGCATGCAAAAATCACTTTCATCGTTGACTGGAAATTTATGTAGTGTGTAATCACATACTTGACAGAGTAATTTCTAACATGAAGATAAACTTATTTTTGTCTTCTTCTGAAAGTTCTTCCACGACTCTTTGTAGTTGCAGCTCCTATTACCAAATCTTCATCTTCCTTCTGATTTTCTGTTTCACCATAAATCACTCATATATAGAATTACAAGACAAAACACAGACTGGTTTTACAAAACTTTGATAAAATGTTTTTAAACAGATCATAAATCATTGATTGCAAAACATGAATTAATGGAATTCTGCTTTGTAGAATTGTGTTCAGAACATCGAATGATGGCAAAATGAATTGTAAAAAAAAAGCAAAAAGCTTTGTTAAGGTCCGAAGAAAAAAACATAAATATTCGTTCTTCACAAGATAAACTTACAGTAATCGGAAAATGTTTCGTGTGTTGAGCAATTTTTTTTTTTATTTTGAGAGAAATTTGTATCAGCTTTACGCTTATATTTTGCAGTATTATTTTGAGAACTGCCAGTTGAATTGCTGAATGATGCAGAAATTACAAAAAATCAAAATTTTTCTCATTTCAGTATTATGCAGCTGTTGGAACTGTTAAATTTTTCCTTTCTTTAGAACTCCTTTCAAGATAATATAAATATCAACAATGTGTTCATCCACATTAATGGTAAAGAAGCTGCCCCTTTTTCAGCTGCTAAATTTAAGAGCTGACAGGTGCACCTCATAATCTCAAATCTGAATTTGCCTTTCTTAAGATGCCTGCAACACCAGTCTTCAAGCCTACCATTACTGGTGCATTATCGGCACCAAGCGCTAAGCAATTATCAGAGGAACTGCATTTTATTTTAAAGTTTTATAATTAGCTGTACTATATTAAAGCCTGTCGAATGTCCTTCTAAAGTGGGGACAGAAATAAACTGCACTCAATTTCTGAAGACTCTGATTAAAAAAAGAAACAACAATTGAATACAGTTTTGAATTGGTATTATTGCTTCCATCCGTAGAGAGGCAGAACGGAGCTGTTTTAATGCAATCAATAACTGAAGATTTATTTTTCAAACCCATTTCTTTAACAATTGCACCTGTTTTGGTCCTTTCACTTGAGTGTTTCTTAGCGATTTCACTATCGGGAAACATTTTTCTAAATAAAGCTACAGCGTGATCTGATGCATTCAGTGGTAGGTTGTGCTCCAGTAAAAAGGCAGAGAACAGACATTCTGCATTAATCCCTTTTTGGTCTTTTGTTTCCGAAGAAAAATTCATGTTGTCCTTGTGTTTTTGTGTACGCACATGTTTGAGAACACCTGCCCTTCCACCAAGCAAAATCGAAAAATCGCAACGACAGATGGTACACCTCGCAAATTTATTACATTTCCTTGAAGAATTAATGGAAGGAAAGTCAACTGTGTACGATTTTTGAACGAGTATTTCACCTTTCTCGCAGACACAACAAAAGACGATAATTTCTAAAACTCTCTCCCTAAAGGCACGTGCACTCACACAACTCAGGACAAGATGAACGAAATAAGCGAAAGAACATCGAAATAACGGCCCAACGGCCAAAGAATTTTCTTTGCAATGGCCTTGAGCTTGCTTTGTGCTCATTGGCGAATATATGCCAGATGATACGCAGTGGAGCTCGATGCCCATTGGAGACAACTGGATAGAACGACGTTTCTGGATACGTATGCTGTCAATCGCAAAGCAGAAATTCTCATCCGATTCGCAAAGTTTCATTTTAGATATAATCTAGAGAAAATTCAGTTGCTTTCAGACGTCCAAAATCACTTTTTTTTTTGGTTCCTATAACGAAGTATTAAGCCAAGTTCCATAAAAATCGTGAGAAATATTAAGAATAAGAAAAAGTCGGGAGAAATATATTGTAAATCGGGTTGGCGGGAGAGCGGTCGAAAATCGGGAGTCTCCCGCCTAAATCGGGAGAGTTGGCAACTCTACAAATATTATTCCCTAGAAAGCAAATCTGTGCAAAAACACACCCATTTTGGGAAGTTTATCTATACTTCAGCAGTTACTGCAACTATATTATTATAAATATTCATGCATATACTCATAATATAAGCATAATGATCATAATAAACACGAATATGAACTGACCACGCGGACCGAGAATGCAAATTATTAAAATCTTGATAGAAATTCAAATGTGTGTAGTATTTGGGTGGGAGGAATTCTCGCGCGCACCATAGGTTATGGTAATGCTGAGAAAGGGGGGGAAAGCAATTTCTGGGAGTATGATTCACCATCTGACGTTGCATATAAGGAAGAAAAGTTGTTTATTTAGTTTCGGCTTTGGTACGGGCAAAAAATGTATGTTCATTAAAAAAAAAAGGATTAAAAAAAGCACTAAAAGCAAAAAATAAGCACTAAAAACAAAAAAATAAGGGCTTTAAAGAAAAATTAAGCACCTATAAGGGCCTTTATATTTTATTTTCAAATATAAGGACTTATAAGCACTTGTAAGGACCGCTACGAACCCTGTTAAACAGAAAAACAGACACAGAAAACTCAGTACATGTCCACAATAAAAACACTGCATTTTACAGGACTCAAAAAAATATGAATATTTACATTTATTAAAACAAGGATGATATATCAGGAAATAAATAGCAGAGCACAAAATAGATTTAATAAAAGTGCATACCCAAGGTTCAATATTTTAAGTTTCGGAAGTGAAGATATCGAAGTTGGTAGATCCTAGAACAGATTTTTAAACATATACAGCTCATGGAAGATTTGTAAATTTACAGCACAAAATAAAACACTCCATATTAATTTTCATGCCATATAAATAATTAAATGCAATTATATGAAAAAAAATGGCCATAAAAACAGAAATACTCAATAATTAACTAAGCGGAAAAACTATAATCAGAAAAAATAGTGCATGAGAGTATTCCTCTTCAATGGCTAGACAGCCCAGGATGGGCACTTGCCTTCCTCAGAATTGAATTCCAAGCTCTTCTATCCCTGGCCATGGTCATCCAATTGGTTATTTTTAAAATTCTTAAGTCTGTTTTCAGTCGAGCCACCTAATTTAGGTCTCCTTTTTATTTTCATCCATTCTGCACAAGTGTCCTGCCCCATTTAATTCTCTGAATCCTTATATATTTTTACTATATCTATTTCTTTAAAGGATTTATAGAGTTCAGAGTTAGTTCTCCAGATATTGTTACATTTTATGCCACCAAAAATATTTCTCAAATTTTTTCTTTTAAAGACAGAAATGATACTTTTGCATGAGAGTATATTAAAAGGAAAAGGCAAAATGCTAGCAATAGTTCATCAGGAGTTCTGATTTTTCTAATGAACATATTTCTTTGAATGTGTTTTATTCGAAGATTTTGCTTCATAAAATTTCTTCAAAGAGCAGTTAACATTCTGATGTTTGTCATTTTTATTACCAATTTTAAAATATGCATTAAATGCAGGTTTTTCTTGCTAAAAAATTCTTAAAACTATTATGATATACAATGAAAAAAAAAAAAATTCTAGCTTCAGGTAGGGTTACTTCAGGTACAATTGAAACTACCATCATTGGCATCTGACATTTCACTGTAGCATGATTAACAACTACATATATATTGAAATAGAACTTTTAAGATAAATAACACATACCTGAAACTGCAAAATTTTTTTGTTAAGGACAGAGATATATAAGCACTATCTAAATGCAATCAAATCTTGATGCCAGAATACATAGACTGTGCCTAATATTAACATAAGAAAAATTTGTATCGTGTACATTATTCTAGTGGAAGTCATTTGATTAGACACACCTCAAGTTCACTGAATGAATCTATTTCAAAATAGCAATAACAAAAGGTTGATGTAAAATAAACTGCTGTCACCATGAAATCTGCATTTCAAGTATCAAAATTCAATGTTCATTAACACAACAAACATTACCCATTAAAGCTGCTAATGCCTAATTTATTTTATGGTAAGTTTTGTAAAATATTCAGCATTGTTAAAAAAAATATTTTTACCCATGACTATGAGCTATTGTTATACTAAATTTATGCTATTAGTGAAGAAATTTTAATCAAAAGTGCTGCTTCCCACAATTCGCAATCACAAATTTGAACAATTCAACATTAATCACTTGTATAATAAGAAGAAATTATTAAAAAAATAAAATCTTAAAAATTTATAAGATAATGAAGCATCATCTGTATACCTCTCTGACCTAGCATGTGTCAGCAACAGTAGTTACAAGAACTCGCATCTAAACAATTTTTTCAACTAACTTGTGCTTTTTAATGTTCTGCAACTGCTTGCAGTAATTTGAATTAACAGCAGATCATTTCCAACTTTTCATCAATGAATACGCTTTGCAGAACAGGAAAACTATGCTGCAAAATGTATGCACAATAACTTTAAAAAACTGTCCTATGCAATGTCTGTTTGAACCACAATTTGTAATTCTCACTAGTTTCTAGTCATTAACTAATATTTTTAGAAATAAACTTTTACATACATATTTTGGATTATATTTTACTAATTAACAAATGCTTTATAGTATGTTTTATAACCATGTCTGCTGAAAAAAATATGCTGTGCGAAGGGCAGGATTTCAGCAGCAAAATAAATTACACCCTAATTTATATTCCCCTTTAAATTTTTCCACTGTAGCAAATTAAACTGTGGCTGTTTTGCTTCATCAAAGCTTACAGTATTCAGTGCACTAAATCATATTTCTTATATATACAATGCATTACCGATTTAACTACAGGGTGTATAAGTACAGCGGTGACAAAATTTCAGGATAGAGTACACCTAGATGATGGGAAATCACACAGCAATGCATGGTCAGAAACACTTTCCTGGCACGGTAGTGACGACATAAAAATCAAGAAAGAAAGCACAGAAACGGGGTGAGCAAACATGTTTATTATTGGGAGTACAGCAAAAACAAAGAAAAAAGCAACATAAAGAGACAACGGTCATCATCAAAGGTGTTCGAAGTTACACACTGGACCATGATGCAGGAACTGTAAGTCATGCATCTTTCATGAGATCTTCCATTCATGATGCAATCTTCCATGCACCGGCCTGCATCACGGTCCAGGGTCGTAATTTTGAATACCTTCTTTAATGAGGATCGTTATTTTTTTTTATTGTTGGTTTCTGTTGTACTAAACATAATACAGTCAAAAGTCGTTAATTCAGACACCCATAATCCGGAATGATCTACAATCCGGACCTCAAAGCGACAAACTTTCTGCGCATGCGTCTGTGCGTAAGACTTTTACTGCTGTGAATATGCATGTGCGTAATACGTTTACGCTTGTGCGTTTAATGTATAACGGACGGTATAAGCTAAGCTAAAATTATCTAATTCAGTTAATGTTGCAGATTGCGTTGTTCCTGAATCTTCGAATTGGATCCGGCTTATTATTTTTTGCAGACTGTTAGAGCAATTTTATAAAAGTAAGCTTAAACTTTCGATTATGTCAAATAGAATTTCCGATATGTATTTACTATTATGTAAAGGATCTACAAAGCGAAAGTATGTTTAGAAGTCCATTAAACAAAAAGTGGAATTGCTGCAAAAAATGTATAAAGGCATATCTTTTGTTTCTCAAACCATTCCGAAATCTGTTTATCAATTTCACGCTGCTCTGTGGCCTGGGGGGAGGGGCAACGCCGAAACGCCGCAGCGCAAAATGAATTGGAAGTTAATTTGTCAGCACTATCCTTATCTTCAGGGCAGATGTTTTTATTTTATTTCGCTTATAATTCCTTACTAAATGTAGTATTTCATCTCGATGTACTCCGTCTTTGATATGATTTAAATCAAACTCCTCGTCATTATAATTCGCTTCCGATAAAGAAGAAAGTGATACAGAGGTTATTGAAAACGAAAAAATTTCGATTGACAAATTAGTCGGTATTCTCGACACAGCAATTATAGGACTTTAACAGCGGAACTTTGTAACTGAAGAAGAAATTATGTCTGTTTATAGAATTAAAGAGAAAGTATTATCACATAAAACGAAACAATTTAAACAACTTACATTGAAAGAAATGTTTAATAAAGTAAACAAATAAATATTAAGCTTTTTTTTTTTTTTGTAAATTTTGATACCCTTTAGATCATAATTGTTCTTTATTTCATAAATTGTGGTTTCATATTTTTAATTTTATAATTTCTGCATGCCATCTTACCAGATTTAAACTGATGATCTATAATCCGGAATTGCCAAAGTCCCGACGAGTCCGGATTAACGACTTTTGACTGTAAAACACATTTTGTCTCGCTGTTTGTGTCCTTCCTTTTTTCTGTTTTGTGTCATCACTACCACACCAGGAAAGCGTTTCCAACCATGCACTGCTTTGTGATTTCCCATCATCTAGGTGTACTCTATCTCTCCTGAAAGTTTATCACCACTGTAGTGATACACCTTGTATACAGTGAAATGATGATTCATTATAAATATCGCACCTTGAGAATGCACAAGTTTAAACTATTATTTTAAGTGCATTTTAATCAGTTAAAAAAAAAAAAAACAGGAATCTATATCTAAAAGTGGGGGAATATGAAGGAAATAAAATCTTACTCAATGTTTAATGAAACCTTATTTAAAAATCAAGCGATATTTGAAAAATAAAAAATCAAAAGATGTGAAATCGTCAGCTTTATAAATAATACTTAAAAAATAAATCAGTTTATCTTTATGAGCAGTACTTTTAAAATACATACACAAACAATAAAAATAAAGATACTATTTAATGAAATTCCTAAGAAAGAGTTACTAATAAAATTTATTACAATTCTTACATGTATATCTTACACTTTTATCATAAACTTCCAGATATTACCTCAATATGATTGTTGAACAAGTTTAGTGATTCTAGATTGGGAAGATTGGCTATGACTGGAGTAACAACTAGAATAAGAAACAAAAATTCAGATTATTTGACTGATTTATCACAAGTTTAGCACAATTTGTAAAAATAAAAAATTACGTACAAATTCATACAAAAAAATTAAAACTGAATTTATATTTATAACATATACTCCCAGGAAATAACTATTTTATTATGTTTTGCAGTCTTAAATTAGAACTATAATCTTCCGGATTATATTCGATTTATACAAACAACTAATAACACTAAGAACTTGCTAATGTAATTATGTACATCTTCAAACAACTTTCTTAGTAATGGACACACAATCTAGTTAAATGATTTCATTATGATAGCTGCTTCAAAACTAAACAATATAGAAAGCTTCATAAAACAACAGTTTTTCCTAATGTGCATATCAACTGTCACTGGTAAGTGTATCTTGAGTTAGGTAACCTATTAGTTATCAGAAATTGCAGCTCAATCAAACTACTATAATTCAAAAAGTTGTCATTAAAAGGCTTCTTACAGAAAAATATCTGGCCTCTCTTCTAATGAAAGGGGTCAATAGAACAATTTTTTAATCATAATGTTGTATCTTAAAATTCATATGATAATCTGAATTAATGGAAGCCAATAAAGGAATTCCCTGGCTTATGGACATGATACATTCCCAAGAACATCAATAGTCAGATTTGTACATTTTGTGTTAAAGTATATACAGTGATGATGACAATAATAATATTAAGTATTATGCTCATATGTTGCATTATTAATATGGTATTACATGGTAGTAATAGTAACAAAGTCTCTGTATTTAAATATTTTCAAAACACATTCATTGACATTTTTTTGCCGTATTTATTTAAGTAGAGCAAAGTATTCTGTAAATCCTTCAAAAGTATTTTTTCTCTTTTCTACAGAATATGAATTCTGCATACGAGGCTATTAGAGAAATGTAGCTTTGGGATATCTCATACTAGTATTAAGTTTGAAATCCAATTGGTGGGTGGAAGCAAAATTACCTAGACAGACTGAATAGACAAAGTATGTTGATCAGACAGGCTTCCAGATGTGTGATCCTTCCTTCTGGCATTACTTTTTTAAAGCAGGAATGAATGAGTGAATATTTAAACACATTTTAACAAAATTGCTATTGTCCTTTGTATTCCTTTTTTTAAATAACAGCTAAAATACCTAGAAAACAACCGACACCACAGATGAAAGAACAGCAATGAGTGAAAAATCATTTTCAAAGATGCTGCATGTCTAAGGTGAAATTTTATAAGCTGAGAATATTGGCTGAAGCTTTTCCCTCACAGAAAGGCAATCAATATAAAAATGAACGGGGGGGGGGGTGGTAATGGAGAAAGAAGAACAAATGGTACTACTACTAAGTGCAAATGGCACTTGTTTTCAATAGATGATGACAAATGCAAATGGTGCAATAAAAATCGCCTAAGAAATTCTTTAACTATCAGATGAAAGACAATTTTTAAGACAGACGAAATCATCATCTTACATGAAAAAACTGCATACCTGCAAAAAGTTCAGCTTTTAAAGGAGATCACTGAAATGAAGTCAGTATAAGTAAAGATCACCTCACTAATTTACTTTGCGCAAATGTTAATGGAATAAGAAAGATACCTTTAGTTACACGAAAATGACAAAAACCAGTATGTCATTGCCACTTTTGCAAGAAGGAAATAAAAGAAAGATTATCCACAGACAAAAAATAAAATAAAATAAATAAATAAAAAATCTTTTAACTTCACTAAAAAAATGACAAAACGATGAGAAGATAATATTGTAAAATTTTATTTTCAAGAGTTAATATATCATCCAAAAACGCTCACTTTTTAAACAAACTAAAAGCTCTCCCTTGACCAAATTTTATGAGTTTGTTGTAACATTTAGATTATAGCATAATCGAAACTGTTTCATACGAAGAGATTAATTCAAACTAATCTTTAGAATATTATCATCCGAAATACTCAAAAAGAGTTCAGCAAATAAAAAACTGTTTCATCAAATACGAATCCAGGGTTATGTGGAACTGTTGAAGTGAAAGGTATAATGACACCATAATTATACACTCACTTCCAAAAGTTAAGCATGGAGAGGAAAATGCTAATTTCCGGAAGCCAATCAGAAATGAAGAGGATGTAATTCGCTGCAGAGGTAGATGGAAGTATGCAAATATGTTAGGTAACAGCCAATCGTGCTTTCATGTCAAGAAGTATGCAAAAAAGGCAGTCTTATAAGGAGCCAGCTTTATGAAGGGTTACAAAAGTTGATTTTAAGTGCTCATAGAAGGTGTTTAAAACTTTCATACAATTTGTTTTCAAGACGTACGTGCTTCTATGACTTCCAGAAGACGAATGGAAGATTCTGAGCGCTGCCGTGCTGTGGGGCACATTGAAGTAGGACAGTCGATCACAGATGTTGCTCTTTTCTTCGGCATTCATCATTCTGTAATTTCACGTTTATGGAAACAATTCTAAACCACACAGACAGTTGCCCGTAGCCAGTCGCCAAAGGGTTACAATCCCCGCGGAAGATCGATATACTGCTACTGTAGCCAAGCGGAATCGCAGAGCGACCTCCACACATGTGACATCTATGGTTACAGCGTCCATTGGTAAGGCGATACCTGCAGCTACTGTACGCCGAAGATTACATATGAGAGGACTGTACGCATTCCGAGGCGGAACATCACGCATTCCGAGGTGGAAGCATTATGGTGCGGGCAGGGATTTCATTCGGATACCGCACTGACCTGCACATCTTTAAACGGGGTTCTTTGATGGCTGTCCAGTATCGAGATGAAGTCCTAGAACCCATTGTGAGATTGTATGATGCAGCAGTTGGCCATACTTTTGTTTTAATGGACGATAACACACGTTCCCATACAGCTGACATCGTCGAAGACTACCTGGAGAGTGAAGGGATTGTGCGCATGGCGTGGCCAGCATATTCTCCCGACCTTAATCACATTGAAAATCTTCGGGATGCTGTAGTCCGTGCTGTATCTTCTCGCTTCCCACCTCCAGCCACTCTTATTGAGCTGGAAACTGCTCTACAAGAAGAATGGCGATTGCTTAACTCTGCAGTGGTTGAATACCTAATTGAAAGCATGGTCACAAGGTGCAAACTTTGTATACAGATGAGGGAGGATCACATACCCTATTAATGTCCTTTTTTTTCATTTTATGCTGTTTATTTTCACTTTATACATAATTCTGTTTAAGTCTCCAGTACGTCGTTATCTGATAACTTACAAAAATTTAATATTGTTTTCATTTCTGTATATAATTATTGATTTTGTTTTATGCATAAATATATATGCTACTTTCCTGCCGAATTTTGTGTCAATCAAAGCAGTATTTGTTGATTTTTTTTGCATTTTACATCTTCGTGCTTAACTTTTGGAAGTGAGTGTATATAAAGAGGCCCGAAATCTGCTAAGAAAGGACATACCTCTAAGGAATATGCAGTTATACCTGCTATAATGAAGCCCAAATTATGCACCTTTAAAAAAATTATTTTTGGATTAACACTTAAATAACAGGATAAAGAAAGTAAAGAATTAATATTCTTTTCACAATATACTGAAATGTGTTGACTCACTAAAAAAGGCTTAGTTTGTCATGATACCCTAGTGGCAAAAGTTCGATTTACAGGACTTCGCGAAAATTATGAAGTATTACCAATAGTCAGATTTCAGTTTACTCCATCTCATCTTTCTTGGACTCTTGTCACAATATTTACTCTGTCCAGAAAGTTTAGGTAACTGCTATGTTGTGGTGTTTATGAATTTAGACAGAGTGAAATGAATGGATTTTGTTGTAAATAAATTATATCTTAGCAATCAACGTCAAGTACCCTCATCTTAAAAATTTTGTGTAATGTTTTTAAGTCAACTATTGTAGTTTATGTTAGCATTTTAGTTTGTAACCTTGTAGGAGTGGGTAAATAAACAAGTATTTGATTAACTTGGCTCTAGCTGGCATTAAGAGTTAAACAGTTAAGGACAATAACTCACTAACTAGTTAAGATAATTCTGTGATCAGCCATTAAGTTGAATACTCATTTTAATTCAACATCACAGAAGTTATAGCTTTGTCACTTGACACTTTAAAATTTACTTGTTTAAACCAATTTTAGAGCTGCACTTATATCGAAACCTTCCTGGGTTGAAAAAAGGTCACTTATTCAAGATGGGCAGTTAAAATTAAAGTTGAATCATTCTATTTGTATGTTAAATATTAAATAATCTCAATTCTTATGGTTTAAAAAATTAAATATTTTAATTATTTTAAAATTTAATTAGTATTGTAAGCAAACTATAATTAAGCTGATTAAGTTTGTACAGTTCCAATAGTATAATATCAGCAATAAAAAATTCCACAGGTAAAATATATATATACCAGATCTTAAAATTTTGTTAACATATCTTTTCCCATTTATACATTTTCAAATAGTTCTTTAAAAGACATATAAACGATGTTTACTGTATGTATACATATATTTTAAATTAGCTTTTAGCATTGATAATATTAAGTTATTTGATACTAGCTTATATTGTATAAGCATCTTGCTTACTTGACAGTGCATTTTTGATGCAAGAAGATAAGCTAATATTAATAAGATGATGGTGATGATGATGAGATGGTGATAGACAGCTTCGAACAGATAAAACAGAATTAGAAACAAGTTTTATAAGTGAAGAAAATTTAATTTGATTCTATTACAACAGATTCAGTATCTGATTTTACTGCAGAAGAATTTAGTTCAATTAATAGTTAAATTATTAAATTACAAATTATCTCTATGGCAAGCTTTGTAAACCTGGCAGTAAGTATGAAATACCATAAAATGGATCATGCATAACCTCTCACTCTCTAGAAAAGTATTACCTATCTACCAAAAAAGGTGTTTGGCTTAGATTCTTATATTTTTAATTTCTGTCGTATGAATACACATGGTCACTTAAGATTGATTTAACCAACCAACAGAAGTTATTCTAAACCATAAGTTG